TATGTTTAATTTTATTTGAAACTGCCATATCAGTTTTCAGAGTGGCTGTGTTATTCTGCATTACTCCCAGCAGTGTATGAGAGATCCAGTTGTTCTGCATCCTTATCGGTGTTTGATAATATCAGTAATTTTTACATTAGCCATCCTGCTAGTTATATAATAGTGTCTCACTGTGTTTTTAACAGATAATTTATTTCCCTAATGGTAATGATGTTAAACACCTTTTTCATGTTCCTATTTGCCAGTTTTATATCCTCCTTGGTGAGGCCATAYTGATTATTTTATTTGCATCTGAAGGACCTTTTCAAAGAGGACATTGTCACTTAAGTTACTAGTCTAACAATGATAGTAATATTGCATGTCATTAACAGACTAGCGTTTAGTCCTCTCTTCTGTCATGTACATGTCCACTAATTTTCCTTCTCCTAAGATCTCTCGAAAGCAAAAAAACAAAGAATCCAAATTTATCCACTGTCGTGGATAACACGTATAGATAACATACATGTACAAATGCATATATGTTACATGTATATAATAATTTTTCCTTACAATTGTCCATAGTCTCAATTCAGACTTAATTTTCTATGTAAGTTCAGTTTTTCTAAACTTAATTACTCCAGAAACTTATTTCTCAGTATTATTTACATTAGTAACAGTTCATCTTCAGGATATATGATATCAGTAACTGAAAGCTGATTGATTCTCAATGGTTCAATCCGCTAATCACATAAAAAGCTGTAGTTCCTTTAAAGACATGAAGTCAAGGAAATTTAGATGAAGTTAAAGAGGATAATTTTATATTAGTTAATATGGTACTAGCTTTAGTAATAGATTAACCTCATAATCTCAGTGGTTAACACAGTAGGAATTTATTTCTCACCCCCATAACCATTAGGGAAAGTAGGTAGTTGCTGCTTCACTTAGTCATTCAGAAATTGACTTTTTCTGGGGCACTGGTATCATGCTGGGGGGGGGGGAGGGCAAGATACAAAAGATACTCCTGCTTCTTAATTTACCAAAAATGTGCAGTGAACATTAGTGTTTCCTCCCATGAACAAAATTTCCTCATGGAAATATGAAGACAGAGAAATGGGGTTGAAAGAAATTCTTAGTCATCAGACTAATGGTGCTATTTGAAGACCCTCCTTAGGGTCAGAACAATGTTAATCCAGAAAAAAAAACAGAAGAGGAGGGTAGTGATCGTAGGTTAAAACAGTTTCTTTTGGCTTTTTCAGTTTCTCATTGCTAGTCCTTCTTGTTTTGTCTGTGCTCCAAAAATGATGAAGTTATTGAATAAAGGCTTCTGGACAAGTTAGGATAACATTGCTGGTGTACAGGATAAATATCAAAATGACTGATAGTGAAGCTTGATGGAATAGTTCTGAATTTTCTTTTGACATTTGATATTATGTAACTATGATATTACATAATGGTACTGTGAGAAAGCAAAATGCTTTTCAGGCAATGAGAGCAAGCTTTTTAATTTAAAATAATGCAGTGGAGCTTCTTTAAAAGTAAACAACCTGGGCACAATGGCTCACACAACCTAGCAACTTGGGAGGCTGAGACAGGAGTATTGTGTAAAACATTAAAATGTGAATTCTCTATTTGAAAATAGATATTAGAGTAAGCAGGTGCCTTTTTCCATAAGCACCATCAAGAAACTTCTATAGAATTATAAAAATAAAAGGAAAGAAATTTGATATAACCAAAATTAAGCCATTCTTCAACATTATTTTGTAGATTTTAATTTCCCATTTATTGCTATTGTCACTCTTCTAGTAATTTAATAATTGATGTTTCAAACTCAGGAGAACTGTTTAGGGGGAGAGTTTCTTTTAGTTTTTGTTTTGTTGTTATTATTTTTTGTTTGTTTTGCAGTGTTGGGAATCCAATCCAGGACATTATGCATACTAGGAAAGCACTGTACCACTAAACTACACACCTGCTAAATTGAGAGTTTTTTTGTTTGTTTTGTTTTTTTAAATTTTGCCTTTTGCTTCCACAAAAACCCCTTTACAATTGTATTTGGGATTGTAAGTGACAGCTTATCAAAAGGGTCTCAGGAACCATTAGGTGTACTGTCTTTGAACATCTTCTAAGTATACCGAGGTGATTTATTTAACACTAATCTTTACAGTGTGTCCATAGTCTTGTTTCTGCATTTTTATATGAATGAGTTATGTTAATTATGTTTATTGAAACCCTGACATTGTCTCATCTGGTCACTGCTGCACTCCTGTAATCACAGCCACTTGGGAAGCTGAGGCAAGAGGAATTGTAAGTTCGAGGCCAGCCTGGGTATTTAGCAAGACCCTGTCTCAAAATAAAAACGTACTGGGATTCAATGCCCAGTACCGGAGCGGGAAGGAGATAACTCTAATTTTTAGGAGTTATTTTCAGTGTTCAAGTGGGCACTTTGGAGATATCTTTTGCTTAAATGTTCTGAAACACGATAATTTTAAAATAAAACTAGCAAAGCTCACAACTACTTTCTGCAGCATTCCATTTATGGGATTTCTCTCTCATTCTCTACATATGTTTATTTTTATGGGTTTTAGTTTATCATATGGGGATGATGATAATAGAAACACTAAAATTAGCAAGTAAAATAATGTAATATCACTTTATGAGATATGTTTTGGTACAATAAAGGAATATGGATTTGAACAAAACTTCAGTAAAAATCCTTCCCAAAATGGAATTCTTTTTTATGTTATGAATCTTATTTTCCTGAATTTATTATTAGTCTCCCTAGAAAATAAGAAACAAAGACTTGAACTATACATTTCAGAGCTGAAGGAATTCAGATGCCAATAATAAATTTTTTTTAAAAGGCAGCCATGGGCCAGCTGGGGTCGTGGCTCAGTCGTAGAGCACTTGCCTAGCATGCATGAGGCACTGAGTTCGATCCCCAACACCACATAAAAAAACTAAATAAACAAAATAAAGGTATTGTGTCCATCTACAACTAAAAATATTTTTTTTAAAAAAAAGGGCAGCCACAGGCTGAGGTTGGAGCTCAATGGTAGAGCGCTTGTGCAGCATGTGTGAGGCACTGGGTTCTATTCTCAGCACCACATATAAATAAATAAAACAAAGGTCCATCAACAACTAAAAAATTATTTTTTAAAAAAGGCAGTCATCAGGCTGGGATTGTGGCTCAGCGGTAGAGTGCTCGCTTAGCACGGGTGGGACCCAGGTTCGATTCTGGCACCATGTAAAAATAAAGGCATTGTGTTGTGTCTGTCTACAAAAAAGATATTCTCTCTCTCTCTCTCTCTCTCTCTCTCTCTCTCTCTCTCTCTCTCTCTCTCTCAAAAAAAAAAAAGTAGCCATCTTCATTGTAATTAAAGAAATGTAAATTAAAACCTAAGATCCTATTCATACAAAATAGAATCACCAAATATCACACACCTGATTATATCAAGTTTTGATGAAAATGTGGAGCCTCAATTAACTAGTAATAACTACTACATATAATCATTTTGGATACAGTTTGGTAACATCTAATAAAGTTAAATCAATCCAATTTCTAGAACAATGGTTCTCAAATTATGGTTATGGAATCACCCTTAGGGGTCTCCAGGGGAGGTCCATGATGTCAAAACTATTTGCATAGTAAGATAAGATATTACTTCCTTTTATTCATTTTCATTCTCTCAGCTATTTAGGGAAATATTGGTATTATATCAGAATATCCATATTTATCTACAAAAGATACAAAAATATGTGTTCTTATTTCAGCTACTTCATATACTTCAGATTTTCTTCATATACTTCAATCAAAACAGTATATTACAAAAGAGAATGCAGAAGCAGATAGGAAAATTCATTTTTCTATTAGAGCAGACTAAAGAGATTTGCAAAATCTGTCACTCAATAAAATTTTGTGTTTTATAAATTTTAGCACATTTTTGAGGTTGGGGTTATAAAGCTCAGTGGAGAGCGCTTGCCTAGCATGTGTGAGGCACTGGGTTCAATCCTCAGCACCACATAAAAATAAATAAGTTAATTAATGTATTATGCCCATCTACAACTAAAAATAAAAAATTTAGTGCATTTTTTCAGAAAAATTATTAAAATATAGTCAATGTTATTTTTATATTTGAATTCAAAGTATTTTATGATTTTTAAAAAATTTTTCTAATATGGTACTATTCATAGATATATCTCAAATAACAACAACCTTTTTGGGTCCTTAGTAATTAAAGAGTGTAACAAGATCCTGAGAACAAAAACTGACAACCTCTAAAATCATAGAGAGAAATCATAGACTTATGTACTTAAAAATATACTGATTGCTGGATAAATCAAAATAACTTACTCATAGGAAAAGATAAAGATGATATTGGGATGAAATGCTAACAGTGTTCTATTTCTTGATCTAGAGTTTAGTTACACAAATATTTTTACTTTATATTTATTTAGTAAGCTTAATATTTGTTTTACGCATCTTTGGTATAAATATTACTTTTCACATTAAAAACACTTTTAAAAAGAATAAGTAGAATATTTCAGTTTCAAAATTTGGATAATAGTAATTTCATACATTTTATATTTGTGTTTTAACATGTTATTTGGGTTCAAATTATCAAGATATATTCTACTCTGGCACATGCTTGTAGCAACTTGGGAGGCTGAGGCAAGTGGATTGCAAGTTCAAAGCCAGCTTCAGCAACTTAGCAGGGCCCTATCTCAAAATAAAAATAAAGAAGTGGAGCTAAAGATGTAACTCAGTGGTAAAGTGCCCCTGGGTTAAATTACCAGTACTCCTCTTTGCCCCACATAAAAAGATATTCTATTTTTATTCTCTAGGTAAATGTGTTGGTTTATCTTTTGTTTAACTCATATTTTATCCATTCTGTAAAAATTGGAATTGAACTCTATTTTATTATAAATAAAAATCATTGTAAGTATTATTCTCCTAGTACTGTGAAAACATAAATTGTCTAATTTGTTTGAATTTTTTATTGAATTTTTTTTTTCATTTTATACAGATAGTTGTGCAAGCACTGCAATGTTCCCATTATTCGATTCTTTGGCAGTTGGTGAAAATTACTGATGGTTCTCCTTCCAAAGTAAGTAACAGTTTCTATGGGCAGAAAGGTTATTATTATAATAATCTTGCTTAACTCATGATTAAATAATTTATCAGTTATATAAATTATTATAATCTTCAATAAAAATACAATAATTTATTGTTACCAGTTCTTGCTTTATGAGTATTTATCTTTACCTTTTTAGAAAATATCCAGTCTTCAAGCATTAGAGACACAATTTACATATATGCAAACATAAGCCCACACAACACACAATTAAAATACTTTTACAAAAAAACTGGTAGATGCAAGAGCTCTATAGGTGACATGCTATAAGGAAGAACAAATAGTGAAAGGTAAGTGTAGCTTTTGATTCTGGCTGTTTGGCAGCTATGAGTTCAAAGCAAATAGCTCTCTTTTAAGTGAAAAACAACTTAAAATGTTAGATACTTTTGTTTGTCTCTTTTGTTTAGTCTATTCATAATTATGCAAAACCAAAAGGAAAATATGCCACAGATTAAGTGTAAGTGGGAATCAAAGAAAATTTTAAAAGTACTGAAGCCTTTATTTTACACTGAGGATCTTTAATACAGAAAATGCACAACATCCTTCCCAGGTAGTATGTCTAGTAGATGGCCACAAATCTCTGACAAAATCAAGAAATCCTAAAGAACTATGGCCAAGAACAAGGGTAAATAGAAATAAATGTATACCAGCTCCATTCATGAGGTGGGGGTTAAGGAAAATATCCTGTATTAATTTTTTATTGACTAAAGGTGTGGAAAGATACATTTCCCTTGAAAGTTTATAACTATGAACTAGTTTTCACTTAGGTTTTACTCTGGATTCTAACTATTTCAGTGGTTAAAAAAAAAGGAAAGATAAAAATAAGAACAAGTTGAGGTTTTTATTTTAAGTGTTCTAAAGTGGTAGTATCCCCAAATACCTAACAGAATCAAATCTAAATCTCTTGTGAAGGAACCCGCCTTAAAGAATTTCTTTAAATAAAATTTTAAGTAAACTCATAGTAAAAACATAACTTAAAAGAAAACAAGATACCATGAATAGAACCATGAAGTGAATCAAGACAAAAAAATATTTCACACATTGTAATTACCTGATATAAATATCACAATAATTTTTTCAGTGGTTTCATGGAATGAGAGGTTTGATGTTTACATATCATCTTAACAAACGAAAGCTATTTAGCCCTAAAGATAATTGATGTTTGCTATAAAACCACCAGCTTAATCTGGAGCATTGTTTTCTCAGAGAAACAATTTTTTTTCTTTTTCCCTTCCTGATTAATAATTTGAGAATTTATTTGCATTTGCATCTATAAAGTAGATGTTATAATCCCATTTTATAATAAGTCATTTGAATCTCAATCTGATGCTTACTGTTAGTGCTCTTTAAATTATTGTATTAAGCTTTTAATACAACTAGTTCTGGAGGGTTTTGTTATAGATTTTATTTTTAACAAATTTTCTAAGGGCAAATTGGTTGATGCAGCTGATCACAAATTGGTAATATTTGCTAATCGTTAAATTATGTTACATAGGTAGATTTCATTTCATCATTCTTTATGCCTACAGACATTTAGATGGGAAGTTATTTTGATTTCAAATGTCAGAGTTGTAATGCCAGTTAAAGTATATGGAGGAATTAGTAATGATGCACCTGAAACTCTATCCCTTTATTCCCCTTTAATTTTTTCCTGAATTTTAAATGTAATATAATAGATATTAGCATATTTATAAATGTTAACAATACATGAAGTTATTTTGTTGAAAAAAAGGTTAAAATTGAATGAGTCATTTAGCTAGTGAGGAAGCAAGCCAGGTGACCATCATGTGTTTGGTTCCCTAGTCATTAGTACATTTACAGAAACTCATTTAAAATTCTGTAGAAGTCATCTCTATTATTAACTAATAAATTATGCTGATTGGTTTTTGGTATAAATTACAAGGTTTTCATAAAATTTCACTCTTTTGAGTACATGCTTGTTGTAACAAAGAAAGAAAAAAGGGAAAGAGAAACAAAACTACCAAATTACATCACCTGTGGATTTCCACTTTTAGTTTTGATGTGCTTTGTTTCCATAGTTTTTATTGGCACGTAATAAGATGTGGGGGATTTTTAGTTCTATTTCTTACATGTATTTCTAATCATACTAAAATCATATTTATAATTTTGCGTCTCTTAAATTAACATTTTCTTTAGGTAAGAAAATTATTATACAAAATATTTTAATGTAATATTGTACATACATCAATAATCTACATTATAGTTTATTTTGCCACTCTCCTCTTGAATGGTTTTAAACATTTTTATTAAATAAAGTTAACACCATGATGGGCATTCTGGCTAAAATTTTGTTCTGCATTTTCCTTATCTTATATTCTTAAAAAGTGGAATTGCCATGTCAACAGTTATACGTATGTTGAACATTCTTTATGCATTACTGCCAAATTGCTTTTTAGAGAGTGCTTATAAAATTTATTTTTCTTCTGTATTGTCAGGAATACGATCAATCAGAAGATTATGAATGGTAGTTATATTTGAAGCTTAATTTCAAGATATAGTTTAACTCAACAGTAAAAATTTTATGAAATAAAGTATATGTGTAGACTATTATCAAGAACAGCATTAGACCTTTATTTGAAATGGAATTGAACTGGGTTTTACCAATGGGCATTTCCTCTCCTAATTTCCAGAGTTGAAGCCCTTTGACAGTCACACAGGTCATGTTCAGTATATTTTGCTCCAGTGCCCCCTAGTGCTAGTCCTATAGAAATGGCCTACAGTTTCTTTTCTATAGCAGAAAGAATCTTTCTTCTTTCAGTTCCTCTGGACATATACAAAGACATTTAAAAGGCAAGGTAAACAGAGGGCTAAAGACCCTATCTCTTTGTTTGCCCTAAATATCTAGAATTTATCCTCATTTTTTTTCCTTTTKAGAAAAGCTGTCCTGCTTTCTGTAGTCTTAAAATTATGATATTCTGCCTTACTTTATTCTGCATATTTCTGTTCTGGACTACAGTAGGGAGGGTCTGGGGCGGGCAAACATCCCTGCCTTCTGAATCAGGAACTTATTCCTAAAAGAAGTCAACATTTCCTACATAACTGCAGGTGAAATTATTAGAGGTATAGTAACTACAAAAATTGTTCATCACCATCTTGACTAGAGTTGTACTCCACAAATTCCAATTTTCATCTCCAAACAAACTAAAGAGAAGGAGTAAGGGTGAAGGTGCAACTGGTKGTAGCCAAATCCCTTCAATCTTGGTTTTCTTTCCACAGACATACTTCCCTAGAAATGAGCTCAAATGAATAAAAACCTGTGGGCTGCTTTCTCTCATTCCTTCTCTTCAATGTAGCAGTGAACAATAAAGAAATAGCTCAACTAGGTCCTTGCCCAGAATTTCTATAACAACATAGAGAACATCTCTTCTGTCTGCAGAGTTAACTGACTTGAGGTGAAGGGAATGGAGCCAAGGATGACAAATAAAACTATCCCTATAAGAACAAATTTTCACTAGTATATAACCATTTTATTTGACTTCTTTTATTCCAGAATACTTCCCTGCCACCTTCTGTTTCTTCAGAATTCTGTCTTCATTAACTATTCAGTTAGTTTTAAGGCTTTCCTTTTGGTCATTCCATGACTCCAGAGTTGTTCTTTAAAAGAGATGTTTCTGTTAATATATCTCCAAACAAAATTGCTTAATTGATCTAAAAAGGTTAGGGGAGAAAGAACTAGATCTTATTTAGTACCATTTCTTGTTCAGCTCAGAATTTTTTTTTTAAGCTAGAATACAGAAATAACTGACTATTCATAGTAAGTTATAAACTTCAAAATTTTATCCAATTCTAACATTTTAAAATTCTCTACCAGAAATAAATGTATTCATCTTAGAAAGGTAAAAACTTAAAAGTCATTGTTTCAGCATTTTATTAAGTGTGCCATGCTATATTTGCAATCCCCCCTTGGTCTCCAGGTTTCGGAACTTGCTTTCTTTCTGGCAGGGAATCCCCCACTTGAAAGAGGAAGCATAAAGCTTCAGAAGCCTGTCTACCTGGATCCTGTTCTTACCTTCAAAGAGACAGTGACTTTTAAAGTACGATTTACAAATACCCAAACTCCTTAAAATATAGATGAGACCACAACAGGGACACAGGGCAAATGCACTCCTAAGGCCTTTTGTACATAGACATTCCTTAAGTGATTAAAATGTCTATCTAAAAACTGATAATTTAAGGCTTATTATCCTTAAACTTATTTAACCTATCTCATCCCCCTTTTCAAACTAAGGACACCAAAATATGAGTAAGATATTTTCAAGATTTATGGGAACATTCAACTGCCATTTTTTATAAAAGTCTTGTTCCAGACCTGTATCTGGAAATAGAAGTCTTCAGTCATTCCCCTACACCTTCCAGGAACAGTAGACCCTTGAAGGCAGATCAACCCTTGATGAGATCACCACCCCTAATCTTCTCAAGGGAACCAGATTGCCCCCTCAAGCAATAAGGATTTCTCTGGAATCACCTGGCAGAATCAGAACTGAGATTATGATCATCCAGAACCTAGCCCACCATAACTGTAAAGGCTTGTCCTTTTCCTTATTTGAGGAACAGCTGATCTCTGTCTCAGTGTTCTCCTCTTCTTAAGGTTAAACCTCAAACTTAGCCTGTGTGTTTGTACTCTTTGGCCCAATTTCTTCATTTCTATTGTCAGTAGGTTAGAAGTTCCCATCTCTGACATCATACTCTACATAGTAATTATTACAGTATAAGAATGTATTTTAACTGAGCTTATCCAGAAGTGTAAGGCAATATTAAAAAAAGATAAAACATAATAGTTCTCACTTTCTAGTACAGACATTGGAGCTTTTCTCCCCCCAAATTACTGATATCTACCTTCATATTAGGCCATTTATTTGAATAGAAATAAAACAGATGTCTTATCCTCTTTCATTTTCCCTGAGTGATAGACTAATGATTTTTCTTCCTATAGAAGGTTTTATATTTTGGGG